AGGAGAATTATCTCGTCGTCGTCTTATCCCTTGCAACCGCAACTTGTGTATTTTCCTCCCAATTGAGAAAGCAGTCTAGATTTTGTTCACTGGCTTTCTGGGGAAGAAGTATTTTTGAGTGATAAGTGCAAAACCAAGGTTATCAAAGAAAGAAATAAATTAGAAAAGAATGACACCAAATCTCTGAATATTAATCTACATACAGTATCAGATTTTTGACGATGGGTAAAAATCGTCGGTGTTGATGTAGTATTTTTTAATACAGAAAACATATGTCAGGAACGATTTAGCAGAGCACTGGACTTATATTATGCAAGGGTAAATACACCCTGTTGTTTGTTGTACAATTAAATCATGGATGCAATTCCTCCGTAACTTTGTACAATTCGTAAATTTTGTAAAACAATTTTATAAAATTTTACAAAATGGGAAGACGCCCTTGATCGAAGCAAGTTGACAAATGTTCCAATTTTTCTCAGAATCATTTGTAAAATTGTGTAAAAGTTTGCAGATTGAAGAAATTTATGGATTTTACAATGTCATGCGTGAATTGTCTCATTGTTTACCTTGCGAGTGCATCAGTGTCACGCCAAATTTAATAAATTTGATTTTGTGTAGAACATTTAGAAAATTCAGGTAAGTAAGTAATTGATTTATTTGTGAGATTGTTTGGCATCAGCCTTGTACTTACAATCATATATTATTATCATTTAAACTTGTATACTTGTAACACCTGCTCTTCCTCAAATTCCCAAATTTCATTAACAGAGTTTCTTATACTAATAATATTATCGAAAATTTTTTTGAAATAGCTCATTACAGGTGGTTGTATCTTTGCTGTAAACTTATAATAATCATTTTCATTTCTCATAAAAGATATGCTGGTGGGTAAATGTTGTCGTTTGTAGAGTACATTCACCGACTTATTTTATCATCTGAGACAATTTATTTTAATTCTGACGTAAAAATCGTACGAAATTTGAATTTTGAATTACTTTAACGCCAAACGTATAATTATTAAAATTTGGGAAATGAATAATGTCAATAATATCTAGATAACAAAAACGTTCCTCTATTTGTGATAAGTATTTGATAGGGGTATAATAAACTTCTTTCATTATTACTCAATTGATGAATCTTAAGTTAACACAAGCGTTAATTCAAACGCCAAAATAAAGCATATCATAACGTAGCAACCCAAAAAGTCTTGTGTTTGGGGGCTGAATGGAGCGAACACGCTCTATTCCTTACTTTTTCACGGACTCATGTGAAATTTTTAACTTTGTCTTAGAGATGCGAAATTTGGCATGCACATACACACCAACATATGCCGCATCATAATGTAACATCAATTCCCCTTCCGTTAGCTGTAAATTTTTCAGGAAAAATCAAAAACCAAATGGAATAGGGGTGACATTTGCTCTTTTTGGGTTGATACTTATGGCCCGTTTGAAAGTACATCGGAAAGTTCTGAGGAAAATTAGTGGAACAGTATTACCAAATAGTTTGTGAAATAGTCTTGGGAAAACCAGCATATAAATTTCCTGGACAAATTTTCGAACAAATATCTCACACATTCTAAGCAAAAGGTTTATGTATTAGAGAAAATCTTGCCAAACAAATTCTTAATTGTTTAAGTTAAACTGTTCAATTTACCAGATCTGCGTGAGTCATTGACGTTATTAAGCCCACAATAAGGGATAAAATGTCTTTAAATAAATTCATACCTCAGTCAGTCAGTCAGGGGATGAAGTTAACTGAAGAGTGGTACTCAAACAAAATAATTTATGGCGTATGAGTTCATACGAAATTTCCATGCTTGCTTTCACCCAGTTGTGCAATACGGATGCGTATGTGCATACTTATTTATGAGAGATGAAAGACTAGAGGTTCTAAATAGACGAGTTATGCCGTGCCATAAAAACCACGGAGTTGCGAAGCAGTTTAAAAATTCCTTTGTGAATTTGTTTATTTCGGAATGGAGGTGAGGCAAAGCTTCTAAAAACTCGTGTTCAATGTGTGCCTAACAATGGAGGTCTCCCAGGTGCTCTCCTATTTTGGGCAAATAGTGTTAATTGATCATGCACGAATTTAATTAACACAAAATCTGTAAAAAATGGAAAAAACGAACGGTAACATTTGCCGTTTTTTGGATATTTTTTAAGAAGAAATTTAGGATAAGACGTATGTTTAACATGTATAATTAAAATTCTCGGAATTTAAGTACGCTATAAAGTACGAATGACCAAGTTAGCATTTTTAACTTAAGGGGGAATCTGACACATCCTCACCGATCTCTATCCGCTGTGTTTGAACTACGTCCACCCTCTCCGTGCATAAGCTTTCATGTAAATTTTTTTTTGACAAACATTGTAAATTTATGGGTTACAGACTATCAAATTTGGAGATCTTGGTGTCATTCTCTTCATAAATACATACTCAACATTAGTACGACCAGAGGTGCAAGTATATATGTTTCAATATATGTAGACCCAGCTCTTTGTAATTTTTGCGGAATTTGTCACGTAGGAGGGCCACCTTATAATTTGGCATGGGCAACATGTCGTACTATCGTGGCACAACAATTCATGATTCCAAAAATGTCAAAACACTCGAGGTGGAAGGATTATTCGCCAAGAAATTAGAGTTTGAAAATTAAAAAAATGCGTTTTTTCAAATTCTTGTAATAGTTCCACTGGATCTCCGTTACATTACCCGAATGATTCGAATTACTTTATTATTGAACACCTGTTATTTTCATTTTGGCGTTCAAACTATACAATTTCGTAAGATTTTTACGCCAAAATAAAAACAACTGGTGTTAAATAATAAAATAATTCGGTCATTCGGCTAATGTAATTGCGTTTAAATTTTGCATCACTCGCTGCAGATGGAGCTTGTGAGGCAAATTCGAGTGAGCGACCAGTTGACCAATCCATCGGCCACTCGATGACATGCTCTCCAATCCTCCTTTCCTCCCACATCCCCTTAAAAGGAATTGAAAATATTTTTGTATAAATAAAAATGCTTAAGTAAGACTCCAAAATATAAAAAATATTAATTTCATAACAAAGAAATAATTTAGGTTATGAGGCTACATATTGCACGCTAGTGTAAATCGATGACAAACTTAATTAATATGAAGTTTGTAAAATCAAATCACGATATCCTATAGTGGTCACGTTTGGAGGAGGTATTTGCATTCGACGAGGAGAAAATTTGGAGAGTGAGTGCAAAATTTGTCAACTTTAGGGCGCATTTTCTCCCTCTTCGGATGCAAATATCCCCAAATTTGCGCATTTGGAGATTGTGTAATTTACAAATTTTAAGTTAATCAAATTTGTGATCGATTGACACTAATTTCGTCAAAATGGGACAGCATACGCTGGGAGACTTCCATTAGTAATTCGGAGAAGCATGTTTAACTGATTGTTTGAAGAAGAAAGGATTACATTTTATGAAAAGCTGCTCAAAGCTGGAAATATTTTCAGTTCGTGCTGCATTCCAGTGTGGAAATTGCGAAGCGAAGTGAAAGGAAATTTTCTCCTTAATTTTGTAACTTTTACAGAAATATCTAATTTTGTTCAATTAAAATTTGACTGAGAAATTTAGCGTTTGAGAGGAAAGCACGTATGAGCTGTTTTCCTGCATAAATAATTTCCAAGTAAGAAGATAGCTACTTTAATCTGAGATGATAAGATTTGGAATAAATTTCATAAAAAACCCAGTTTTTGTGAAATTAAATGGTTAATTGTGAAGGTAAAACTTGAAAATTTTGAGCAGAGAAAACCAGATGTGTTCACAAGAAAATAAAAACAATAATAAAATAATAACAATTCAGATTTCGAGAATCATACAAATACTACGTCACCTGTGGACCTTAATTTAATTATTTTATCAATAATTTTTTACTATTTGGCTATATAGTTTACCAAATGTGATTTTGCAGAAATAAAAAAAAATTGTTTTTACTAGCAAACATGAGCGATTCCTTAAAATATCTCGTTTTCCAAATTATATAACACTACATTTGATTACATCGAAATAATGGAATTGTATCGTTTGCACGGCTTAATTTTTATTTTGTAATGTTTTGGAGCAAATAGTGATTGAGATTAATAATAGTGATTTTTTCTAGCCGTTTAATTTAATGTCTTTAAATGCAAATTTCTAAAACGGCCTCAAATTCGTACATTAATGTCTTTAAATGCAAATTTCTAAAACGGCCTCAAATTCGTACATGAGTTTTGAGCAGGGTCTTTTGACTGTTTCCTTGGAGGATTTCTAGACAGGGTCATGTCAGTTCAAAAATTCTCCAAATTTTTTTTACAGATTTTAAAGTTTAGGAATATGCGCAATTTTTGCTGGGAGAGCTTGGTTGTCAAGAAAAATGAAATATTTTATAAACCGTCGTAAAATGACAAAGATTTAATTTAATTGCAAATTAAAATAGTTATAAAATAATTGAACTAGAATCGGTATCAAAAACGGTACCTACAAATTTTTCGCATGCATTTATGACGTTTTATAGAATATTTTATTTTTCTTGACAACCAAGCTCTCCCAGCAAAAATTGCAGTATTCTCAAACTTTAAAATCTGTAAAAAAAATTTTGGAGAATTTTTGAACTGACATGACCCTGTCTAGAAATCCTTCAAGGAAACAGTAAATAGACCCTGCTTTTGAGTTAAATACTAATTTTGATATTTTAATGCACAGTAAATGTTTAGTACTAAGAAAACTATCGATGAAAAAAATTGCTACTCCATTTGCCGTTTTTCAGAGTACATTTCTTCAAAACTTAATTCGCTACTTTTTTTCAAATCAATAGTTTTACAGTACCAAAAATTAACTTGACATTCAAATCTCGAAAGTTGCATTTATCTCAATACTCATGAAGGTGATGCCATTTTAGAAAAATTAATTGTAATCAGTAATGTTATATCAGTTGACTATGCATATATACTAACTGTGCATGTCGTTCTTTTGTCTGTTTTCAGGAAACCAACTTCATAACTAACGTATAAAAAACACCTTCAATAGAACAACATTTTCGTGCCATTGACTCTCAAATGTGAAAAACGAAGAGAAACTTGAGGCTTTGAACTCCTCGAGAAATAAATGAATATTGATGAGGTTTTGGGCGAGAAAACGGTGCACGCATTGTTTAATAAAAAATATTCGAGTGCTTATTAACTGAAGATTGTGTGTCGTGAAAGTGGAATTTAGAATATGAGGACATGCTGGACTACGTAATTACGATGGAAATGGATCTCTGAAAAATGTAAGTAAAAAATTGTATCATTCACCCTTTGGAATCTGGTATAGCCAGGCAGGTATTGCTTTCTCGGTATTAAAGTAGCTACCGATTGGTATTATCATACCGGTGCGTAAAAATTTCTTACTGAAATGATAAAACTGTAATAATCAGCTATTACTATACGGTAACACTTATCAAAACCACCACTTTGGTAAAGTCATATATGAATTTCGCAATACTGGATTTCTTAGAGTGTTTCTATTCATCGGTTCCATATTTCAGGAAATGTTTGGTAAAAATTTATCACTGGTTTAATAAAATTGACAAAACTTTCACTTTTTGTGAAACCACTCGGAATTGAGGGTTGCGTGTAACTAAATATTTAAGCAGCATGACAATTTTGATACATTAAAGTGATTCGCCGTGAAGAGGACACATTAATCACACCAGATTTACTGGGACACTTTGACACGTGGTTATTTATCATTATTTTTCCTCAATGGTGAACACATCCACCCAATTTTGTAGGTTTCATCAACTTAGAGAAAATAATTTGAGCCGGAAATGAGAAGATTTTCAGACTAATGGAATGAAATAAGGTTTATTGAATAGATACGCATTTTACTAATCGATTTTGCGTATAAGTGACATAGTTGAACGTCGAACATTAATTTTGTGAGTTGTTTTATTATAAAATTTAAATTGTACAGGTGACGTGTCTGGTTCTTAATTTCCTCGTTTTGCAAAGTTGCAAAATTCTAGCTGGCGTCTGGCAGTCAGGCTGTCTGGCACTACTTATATCGAATCATTATTTTGATAAACTATAATAAATTTTGAGAAAATTATTTTAATAATTTGATGTGAAAAATACTTAAGTTGGAATAAAATAAAATTCGTCCTTATTCCTACAAAAAGAGTGAGAAAATTAAGCATTCTAGATTTTAGTATGGAAATAAAACTGGACTTTTAGAAATATTTACATGAGTGAATCTGCCCTTGCATCTTGGATCTTGCATCTGGACTTGCCTGGCATCTGTATTATTTTCTTCATTAATTAAATGTTTAAAATATCAGAATATTCCTTAAAATATAACATTTAGTTGTCTAAATGTGTATTTCTACATATTGTACGAAAATTTGACGTCTGCATTTAAGAGTAATTTCATGGTCAAGCACAAAATTGCTAACAATGCGATGACGCCAGCGGTCTCGCTCCGATTTTGACGAAACGACGATAATTATGTAGCATTAGATAAATAATTAGACACGTGTTTCAGGATTTTTCATAATGCTCAGCTTAAACGAAATTATGACGAAATCCGTGAGCGAGAATTCCCATTTTCACCGTGACATTTTTCTGGCAAGGGAGAAAAATACAGATTCTCCATTATGGAGTCCATCATAATTTCGTTTAAAATACGTGGGCATGAAGTGTTTTCCGATTTTTTATTTCTTGTACAAATTTTGAAATTTTGAAAATTTTGAAAATTTTTGAAAATTTTGAAAATTTTTGAAAATTTTAATTTTTTTTGAAAGTTTCTGAAAATTTTCAAAATTTCTGAAAGTTTCTGAAAATTTTCAAAAATGCAACAAACCAAAATCGTACAAAGCCACTTCGTGCCCACCAATTTTAAGCTTAAACGAAATTACTTATGATGGACTCCATAATGGAGAATGTGTATTTTTCTCCCTTGCCAGAAAAATGTCACGGTGAAAATGGGAATTCTCGCTCACGGATTTCGTCATAATTTCGTTTAAACTGAGCATTATGAAAAATCCTGAAACACGTGTCTAATTATTTATCTAATGCTACATAATTATCGTCGTTTCGTCAAAATCGGAGCAAGACCGCTGGCGTCATCGCATTGTAAGCAAACCGTACCTTCGATGTTGTTAGAGCTGAGCTTGAGTTGCTTTAAGCAACTCTTGCTTTTTAACTAAGCAAATGGGGGAAATGAGACAATCAATAAAAAAAGTTGTTCAATTTTTATCATATCTGCAGCAACTAAATTGTCACAAACATAGTTCACTCTTCTTACAATTAGATTAAAATTCATTACTCATAACGACGAGAATTAGCGAAATTGGCATCGATTTTATCTTTACTATATTTTTCGTTAATTAAATTTTTGAAAATATCAGAATCGTCGTTAAAATAGAACACTCAATTCCTGGTACAATGCATGTTTTCGTACATATGAAAATTTGGCGTCTGTATTTCATGGTAATTTCGTGGTCAAGCACGTATAGCGTATCTTCGTAATGGCGATCGTGCGGTTTCTACCACGAATTGATTCATGCCCTGTCCGGAAAACGATTAGGCACACGTTTAACATCGGGTCGAAATAATGGAGAGAAATTCGGCAACTTTCTCTCCTGAGATAATAATTGAGCAGGGCTGAATTTGGATCGACTGGAAATTGAAATTGGGTCGAGGTGACGAGATTATAGAAAAATTCCATCTTCCAAAACACTTTAAGTGAATAAAATTTGTTTTTACGATAAAAATTCAATTTTCGTTTTTTAGTAACAATTCACATTTTTAGAAATATTACTATAAATAAAATCGGAAATATATTTAGTTAGTTTCCTAAATAAAATAATTTATAGGTGGAAAATCCCAATTTAAATTTGGTCATTTTCTTTTGCTTGAAACCATTTCCAAATAAAATTGGAAAGGAAAATGTAATCTCGATTTCCTATCCGTGCTTCACCTGCAGGCATAATATTTCATTGTCACCATTTATTAGGTGGAAGGACAGGATAATTATATCGGACTTTTATTTTTCTTGATCATTGGCATCCACGTAAATTTATAGAATCCTCCACTCATTGGCTTAAAGCTAAATATTTTTTCAACAAAAAAAGGTTAGTTGGTTTTTATGGTGAAATTCAAGCAGTCTTTGGTAACTTTGTAGAATCCGTAAATTCTGTAAAATAATTTTACTAACTTTTACAAAATAAAAAGACGCTTTTGATCCGAAAAAGTTGACAAAAATTTGCAAGCTAATTTTCCTTAAAAACATTTGCAAACTATGTAAAAATTTGCGAGTTTACAGAATTTAGGGATTTTACAAAGTTACCAAAGGACAAAGACTGTGTGAATATCTTTTCTATATCTTTTAGACAAACTTGAATTAGCAGTTCACGGGGAATTTTTTACAGAATAAATATTGTTCAAAAAGTTTATGTAATCCTAATTAAGAGAAAATAAGAATGTGCTATTTTTAACAATGTGCTCTCTTCCTCTCAAATATGAACTTTTTCAGTTTTCCAAGAGAAAAGGTCTTTTCTCGTGGAGACGAACTTTGTCATTTTAAGCCGACTTTAGCACACCTATTTATTCATCCACTCACTTTCTCCTAGATTCAATCGAAATTCTACCTAAAATCGAGTCACTCTCGTCTTCTTAAGAAATGATGCCCAACTTTTTCCCTGGTTTGATCTAACGACTTAAAAAGTCATTGTGAAATTGGAATCTTTACAAGGAATTGATATTCTATTTTAGTTTGAGCAGGATTGTCACGACTTTAAAATTCGGGATATTTTTATGTGCATAAGCTTATTACTCATTCATGAGGTTTATACACCAATAAATCTTTTTTTGGAAAATTATCCCAACTTGATAACGAAAACAAGATGTTTTTTGTTTTCAAATCAAGTTTTTTTGCGAACTTGTGAGCTTTCTTTTCTTTTTTTGCTAACGTTTACGAACGGTGCGATTAGTCGTATTGTATTGAATTGAATACCCTCAAGGTTAAGAAAAAAAAGTATTTTGGCAATTTATTTGGGAACTTGCGCATTTCCAAGGCTACTATTTAGTTCGCAATTTGTTTTCGAAATTATTTTGCTAACTTGAGAACAATACGAACTCGTAATGAGTACCCCATTATAATTGATTTGAACTTTATAATAATAACACGGACGAGAAGGAAAGTTTTGGACAATAACAATTCCGGAAGTGCTGAGAAGACGGAAATGTGGAGAAAGTTGGTTGGTGAAAAGTCTTAATTTCACTTTTGAGCTTCGCACCACTCGACTTTGGACTTATTGTGACGCTAAACTTACTTTTGCTCGTAACAACTTTCAACTTCCTTGTCATTCGTTAAACTATTTAGCTTGATCTCAGAATTGGGTTTAGTTGGCTTAAACTTTAAGTTGAGTCCACTTTAAAAAATCGGGTAACAAGGCCTTTCCCAAGTGATGAATTCTACCACAATGGCATTACATTTGTTACCGACTGATAGTAAATTTATTCCCACGTCAGCTAAACTATTTTAAGATTAATTTATTTCCAAAATTACATGTAGATAAAATCAGTACCAAAACTGGTTAGTAATAAAATATGGAAATTAAAAGAAAATCAGAGTTTCTGTTTTAACAGAAATATTGCTAAAATTAGCTAAAATTTTGTAGAAGGCAGTCCATTTCATAGCAAAGCGTAACGAACCCGGTGATAAGCTTATAAAGTCGGAACATAATGTGATAATCAGTAATTTAAAAATATTTAGCTGAGAAACTTGCATAAACCGAATATCTGAAGAGAACTTCATAAGTCTGGAAGGAATGAAAATGTTTACGAATTAATTCACAATATTCACAAAAATGTGAATTTTTTCACAATATTCATAATATTCACAAAAATGTGAATTTTTTTTCAAATTGGGCATTAGAATTTCTTATGAAGATTCCTTATCGAGTGGGGTCTTGCATAATTTGAATATTGTACGCTAAATGATAAAATCTATAATAATGCGCTCACCGAGAGAAATACAACACACGATGCAAATAGGTGAGAAGAATGAACTAAGAATGAGGCATAAAACGACTCATTTATTATGCAAATGTGTTTAACAACTGAATTTCACTTGTAAAAAAAATGTGTCCCAAATTGGCAAACAACTCGAGAACCAAGACAGTAAAAGAAGAGAAAGTTTGCTTTCTTCCACACTTTCTTCCCCCATTTCGTCTCATTTCTTGTAAGAACAGGACAAATCTAATTCAATTCCACTTGCTACACCAAC